TTCCTCCAGAAGCATATTTTCACTCGCTTTGGAACCCCCCGAGCCATTATTAGTGATGAAGGAACCCAATTCTGCAACAAATACTTGGGGCAGCTGCTTGCTAAATATGGTGTCAAGCACAAGGTCGCCACAGCCTATCACCCGCAAACCAGTGGGTAGGCTGAACTATCAAATCGGGAAATCAAGCGAATACTCGAGAAAATAGTGAACCTGACTCGTAAGGATTGGTCGGTGCGCTTAGATGATGCATTATGGGCCTTCCGAACAGCTTTGAAAACACCCTTAGGGATGTCCTCATATAGGCTGGTATTTGGAAAGGCGTGTCACTTGCTTGTGGAGCTAGAACATAGAGCATTCTGGGCTCTCAAGAAGCTGAATCTCGACTGGCAGGCAGCCAGGCAGAGCAAACTGTTACAACTGAATGAGCTTGATGAGTTCAAGCTGCAGGTTTATGAAAGTGCTCGGCTATACAAAGAAAAGACTAAGAAATGGCATGTCTTGCCTCGAACATTCAAAACTGGGCAGCAAGTGCTCTTGTTCAACTCCAGGTTGAAGCTTTTCCCAGGCAAACTGAAGTCTCGATGGTCTGGCCCTTTTGCAGTCACTAAAGTATTTCCTTATGGAGCGGTCGAATTGATTGAGGAGGAGTCTGCGAGGAAATTCATGGTAAATGGACAGCAGTTAAAGCACTACTGGGGAGGTCCAGTGGATCGTTGCAAAACGTCCACCACTCTGTAGGAGGCTTGATTCTCAACCAGGGAGGTAGTCAGGCTGATGACTCAAAAACAAGCGCTCGTGGGAGGCAACCCATTGTTTGTTCCTTTGTTTTTGTTTTATTTTACTATTCTGCATTTATATTTTAATTGGGAGTGTAATTCATTGGTTGGCAGGATCAAAAGGTTGTGCATTGACTATCGTCAATTGAACAGGGTGACTGTGAAAAATAAGTACCCACTGCCGAGGATCGATGAATTGTTCGATCAGTTGGGTAGATCACAGTTCTACTCTAAGATTGATTTGAGATCTGGGTACCATCAGCTGAAAATCAAGGAGGAAGACATTCTGAAGACTACTTTCAGAACTCAGTAGGGGCACTTCGAGTTTCTGGTAATGCCGTTTGGATTGACGAATGCCCCGGCTGCATTCATGGATCTAATGAACCGTGTTTTCCGGCCGTACTTGGATCGGTTCGTGATCGTCTTCATTGACGACATACTGGTTTACTCGAAGACTTGGGAAGAACATGCGCAACATTTGAGAATTGTTCTTCAGACTCTTCGAGAACACCAGTTGTATGCTAAGAAGGAGAAGTGTGACTTCTGGCTGACAGAAGTAAAGTTCCTTGGGCATGTGATTTCTGGACAAGGAATTTCTGTCGATCCTTCTAAGATCGAGACTGTGCTACAGTGGGAAAGGCCGAAGAATGTAGCAGAGATTCGTAGTTTTCTCGAACTGGCAGGCTATTACCGGCGTTTTGTGAAGGACTTCTCGAGCATCGCTGCACCGATGACTCGGTTGACGAGGAAGGAAGTCAGATTCGAATGGAACGCCGAATGTGAAAGTGCTTTTCAGGAATTGAAGGTCAGACTGACAAGTGCACCAGTCTTGACTATTCCTGACAGTGAAGGGCTATATGAGGTATATACTGACGCCTCGGGGAGTGGGCTGGGTTGTGTGTTGATGCAAGGTGGACGCGTTGTAGCTTACGCATCCCGAAAACTAAAGCCACATGAACAGAATTACCCCACTCATGATTTGGAGCTGGCAGCAGTGATATTTGCTCTGAAAATATGGAGATGTTATCTCTATGGAGCAAAGTTTCAGGTCTTCTCTGACCATAAAAGTCTGAAGTACTTGTTTACTCAGAAAGACTTGAATCTCAGGCAGACTTCACTCTGCAGTATCATCCTGGAAAAGCTAATGTGGTGGCTGATGCCCTTAGCAGGAAAACGTCAGGGACTCTGGCGTCATTAGCTTTGGAGGATTGGAAGAGGACTGAAGTAGTGAGTGAGTATGATCTTCAGTACCATGAAGATTATAACCAGGCTATGGTGTATAATCTGGTCTCTACACCGGACATTGTGCAACAAGTTAAGCAGAATCAATGGCAGGATCCCCACCTCTAAGGGATTTGGATTCGGATCCAGAATGGAGAACAATTCGAGGATTGGAGAATCCGGGAGGATGGAGCCTTGTATTTCTGCAACCGCCTTGCTGTTCCTAAGG